GCTAGGGGTGCAAGATCAAAGTGCTGATAGGTTCAGTAGACAGAGCCTTGTTGCTGTATCTTTGGATGGCAGAACACTGTGCCCTCACATAGCAGCAAGGACAGAAGGACAAGAAACAAAACTTTCTCCATCAAACCTTTCTACTACAGCATTGATTCATTCATGAGGGCTCTTACATGCCTCCTCAATACCGTGAGTCCTAACACTGTTGCATTAGAGATTGATTTTCTAACACATGAATTTTGGGGGACATATTCAGACTGTAGTACAAATCATGACTGGTACTAGGCATGTTTTCTCATTATTGTGGTTGTACATGATGCGGAATTACATTGGTCATGAATTTATATATGAAGTTAGGAAAGATATGTCTGATTCATTTTACTTTCCTATTACCACCCCATCCCTTTCCTTCATTCCCCTTTGTCTAATCCAATGAATTTCTAATCTTCCCCTCCCTTGTTGTGTGTTAGCATCAACATATCAGAGAGAACATTCTGCCTTTGGTTTTTTTGGGACTGGATTATTTCACTTAGCCTGATAGTCTCCAGATCCATCCATTTACAAGAAAATGCCATAATTTCTATTCTTCTTTATGGCTGAGTAATATTCCACATTTTAAAAAAATCCCTTCATCTGTTGTAGGGAACTTGGTTGGTTCCATAGCTTGGCTATTGTGAATTGAACTGCTATAAACATTGAAGTGGCTGCATCACTGTAATATGCTGACTTTAAGTCCTTCGGGCATATGCCAAAGAGTGGGATAACTGGGTCAAATGGTATTCCGTTCCAAGCTTTCTGAGGAATATTCATACTGTTTTCAGGAGTGGGTGCACAAATTTGCAGTCCCACCACATCCTTGACAACATTTATTGTTGCTTGTATACTTAATAATTCCATTCCGACTGGAGTGAGATGGAATTTCAGTGTGGTTTTTAATTTGTATTTTTCTGATTGCTAGAGATGTTGAACATTTTTCATATATTTGTTGACAATTCGTATTTTTTCTTCCTCCCCCTCCTCCTCCTCCTCCTTCTTCAGACCAGGGATTGAATTCAGGGGAACTTAACCACTGAGCCACATCCCCAGCCCATTTTTGTATTTTATTTTAGAGACAGGGTCCAGCTGAGTTGCTTAGGGCCTTGCTAAGTTGCTGAGACTGGCTTTGAACTGGCAATCCTCATGTCTCAGCCTCCCAAACCACTGGGATTACAGGAGTACCCCACTGTACCCAGCTGTATTTCTTCTTCTGTGAAGTGTCTGCTCAGTTCCTTAGCCCATTTATTGATTGGGTTATTTGTTTATTGGTATTAAGTTTTTTGAGTTCTTTGTATACCTGGAGATTAATGCTCTGACGTGCTGGTGGTAAAGATTTTCTCCCATTCTGTAGGCTCTCTGTTCATGTTCTTGATTGTTTCCTTTGCTGTGAAGAAGCTTTTTAGTTTGATACTATCCCATTTATTGATTCTTGATTTTACTTCTTGTGTCTCATAAGTCTTATTGAAGAAGTTGGTTTCTAAGCTGACATGGTGGAGAGTTGGGCCTACATTTTCTTCTAGTAGGTGCAGAGTCTCTGGTCAAATGCCTAGGTCCTTGATCCACTTTGAGTTGAGTTTTGTGCAGGGTGAGAGATAGAGGTTCGATTTCATTCTGCTACATATGGATTTTTGGTTTTCCCAGTATCATTTATTGAAGAGGCTATCTTTTCTCCAATGTATGTTTATGGTGCCTTTGTCTAGTATGAGATAACCATATTTAGGTTGATGTGTCTTCTGTTCTGTTCTGTTGATCTATGTGTCTGTTTTGGGGCCAATACCATGCCATTTTTGTTACTGTAGCTCTGTAGTATAATTTCAGGAATGGTATTAGGATGCTTCCCGCTTCATTTTCCTCACTAAGGATTGCTTTGTTAGGCAGAATTGAAAATAAGGACTTGGCCAGATATTTACATACTCTTGTTCATAGAGACATTGATTATAGTAGCTAAAAAGTAGTAGCATCCAGATATCCATCAATAGATGAGTGAATAAACAATATGTGGTATATACAAGCAATGGAATATTTTTCAGCCTTAAAAGGAAGTGATATATGCTACAATGTGGAAGAATATTGAAGAAATTATGCAAAACTAAATAAACCAGACATAAAATGATGAATATTGTATGATTCCACTTATATAAGAAATCTAGAATAGTCAAATTCATAGAGACAGAAAGTAGAATAGCCATTCCCAGGAGACGAGAAGTAATCACAGTCAGTTATTGTTTAATGAGTACAGGGTTTAAATTTGGACGGTGGAAAAGTTCTGGAGAAGATAGTAGTTGATGGTTGCTCAGTAATGAGTATGTACTTAATGATACTGAATTTTACTTTGAAACAGTGGTTACAATTGCAAATCTTTGTATATTATATCACAGTAAAGAATTCTTAAATAAGAAGTAGAAGTGTATTCATCAGTTTTGTAAATGTTGGAGTATAATAATTGTATAAAATATATGTAGAGAAAACCTACATAGTTTGTGGTAACCAGAATAAGTTTCAAGCTAAATAATGATAAAGGAGTTCTCCATGTGCATATAGGGAATTTCCTAAATTTTGGTCACTAAGAAAGATCTGAGCGGCACTCTCTTATTTTGTTTCTGGTGCTATTACAAATACCTGAAACTGGGTGATTTATAAGGAACAGAAGTTTATTTGTCTCATGTTTCTGGAGGCTGGAACTATAAGAGCATTGGCTTAGTGTCAGTTCAGTGTCTAGTGAGGGCCTCTTTGTTGTACCATAACATGACAGAGAGTCTCACACTTCAAGATAGAGGGAATGGGTCATGTCACCCATTCACCCAATACTTAATCCTCAACAACAGCCCCCAAGTGGTCATCTAACCTATAAAACCCTCCAGTGATAGCAGATTCACTTCTTCCTAGAGCAGTCTATTCCATTTCTGGAGAAGATTTCTAGAGAATTAGTTTTTATTATGGCAGCCCCTCTTTAATTTCACATTTACACATCCGTTTTCAGTCCCAAACTTCGAACCCCAAACTCATTCTGTCATTTGTACTCCTTGTCAACCAAATGTTGCTAAAGTCACAAAAAAAGTATCCATTGGGTCTTCTCCAAATCTGAGTTATTTGCTATTGGTTACCACTCTTAGATTCATACTTTTTGACAGCTTATCAAATTTCCCACTGTGGCTAAAACAAAACTTTATATACTTTCTCAACACTATTCGTATCCCCAAATTCCCAAAGATGCCCTCACTTCCTGTATGTATGTTTGTTTGCTTGTGTGCTTAGTAGATAAGCCTGCCTCTCAAGTCACTGTCTTTTCCACCTCTACATGTTTCTATTTTCACCAATGAAGATGATAATCATGATAAGCATCTATTGCCAAGAAATGCCCCATATTTTTTTCAGCCCAACAAATTCACTGTGTTCCTCTCAGCTTGTCATGTCTCTTCACATTGTCATGCCTTTTCCTGTTGCTTACCTATTCTTTCTCCAATCTTTACCTTTTTTAATTGCCCCAAATCATTCTTATCGTAAATCTCTTATATTTAAAAACAAGATGCAAAAGAAAACAATTTTCAATCCCAACAATCACTCTATCAGCTATTCTTTCTCCCCTTTCCTTACAAAACATGTTTCTGGGAGAAAAGATGTATTTACCCATATTAGCATCCTGAAGCTCTTCACCCCTTCATTGTATACTCTCCAGCTCCACCTCTGGCTTAGTGTTGATATCATGCTCTGGCATAATGCAAATCCCCGCTTCTGTGACCTCTTCATACAATGTTATATTTCTTCCTACACCTACAATGTGAACCTTCAAAGTTCTGCCTTCTTTGAACTATATAAGCTTTGACTGAGATGTGTTCACCTTAAAGCTTTCATCCTATTCTAAAGTGTTCTAGGGTCTGCTGCTGGACTCATCTGTCTAGCTAGGCGGAAAGTTGTATGAAGGCTCATGTCCCTCCTTGTATTTAGCACATGAAAACAATATCAATAAATACTTGATGAATACTTTTCAACATTTGAGAAATTTACAATATTTTAAGTAATAATGAAGCCATATACTAAAAGGGTATCTGAGTAGCCCACCTCCCTTTCTCCAGTTTTCTCTCTTTCTGTACTTCTTCTCTTTCCCCTCTACATTAAAGAGAGTTTTGATAGCTGATAAAATTTGTGTGAGAAGCGGGAAGTGGTGGCACACACCTGTAATCCCAGTGGCTCTGGAAGCTGAGGCAGGAGGATCACAAGTTCAAAGCCAGCCTCAGCAGTAGCGAGGCACTAAGCTACTCAGTAAGACCCTGTGTCTAAATAAAATACAAAATAGGGCTGGGAATGTGGTTCAATGATTAACTGCCCCTGAGTTCAATCCCTGGTACCTTCACCAAAAAAAAATTTGTGTAAGAAATCATAATGAAGCCAACTAAAGCTTGCTCAATTTTTTTCTTCCTCTTTCTGGGGTAGTGTACATTTAATTATTCATTAAATCATATTTGGGTATGTGCATGTTATACATAAGTAATGCACTCTTGTTATAAGGGATTCTTACCAAACAAACTAGAACTGAAAGCCTCCTCCATGCTTCTTTAGAAGAGCTAACTGCCAATGGCGGGTTGATGGCTATGTTTCAAATTATTTCTTCTACTCATTTTTTACCTTCAACAAAAACATAAACAAAGATTTGCTATATAAAATCCTGATCAGGATAAACAAACACAGTAGCCATCTGACTTCCTGTTTGTCTTTCACTTTGATTTTTATCTACCATGTCCTTTACGATGATGCCATGACTCCTGTTTATTGCTGCTAACTCCTTGACACAGAATCCTCATGAAAGGTATGTATCATTCTCATTTTTTACCAAATATACACACATGTTCAACATCTTTCCTCTAAGTGGGGAAATTTATAGCAAATTGAAAATGCTGCATCAGTTCAAGTTTTCAGAGAAGCACTGAAGGACCTTAAGCAAGTACATTTAGCTAAACTGAGCAACAGCAAAATGATCATTTCTGGGGAAGATATGACTCAGGAAAATGTAAACTGCAATAAATAGTCTCAAAATTATGATTTTGTCACATGAATGTGATATAAAATTCATTTTAATCATAAAGTGGCTCATTTGCATATGCCCCTATTAAAGTATCAGGCACTCTTCTAAGCACATCGCATCCATGATGTGATTTAATTCTCACATCAACCCAAAGAAGTAGGTGCTGTTGTTGTTCACAGCTTATAGATAGTGAAACTACCCACAGTAAATAGTAGATCAAATAGTCAAATTCCGGTCTGTCTGACTTCAAAGCTCTCATTCAATTTCTTCAATAAATATTAATTGAGCCAGGCATTGGAAAATAAGCAGACAATGGTCCATGTCCACATGGAGTTTACAACCTAGCAATGGAGATAGACATTAATCATTTAGTAAAATAGATAATTATTTGAATTAAAATTGTGATATACACCATGAAGAAAGGGTAGAACATATTCACTTATATATTCCAAACTCCTAGACAGTTTAGATATAAAATATAACTAGATAGTGCCTGTTTCAGATGAATGACAAATATTGGTTGAATATTGAATAAGGATTTTGTGAAGGGACATAATGGGGACTCAGTCCTATCTCAGTGGAGGCCAGGGAAGGCCTTCTGAGAAGATGAGACTTGAAGGATGACTTGAGCTGACTAGAAGATAGGAGAAGCTTACAGGGAAGGGTGTTTGAACAGCCCGACAGCAGTGCTGGAGTCAAGGCAGAACCTTGGCAGATGAAAACAGAAAGTGAACCAGAGAAGACAAGGCCCGGTGGCTGGGTGAGTGTGAATGGCCTGAAACGAACTGTGGAAGTAGGATGAGTTATGCTCATCCAGGGTCATAAGAGTGATATAAATATTTTTATCTTGATTCCAAGGGCAGTGGGTCACCAGGGAGGGGTTTTAACAAGGGCAATGTCAGCAACAGCTTTCCATTGATGTTGTAGCCCAAGCGTGGTCATCGAGGAGGTGAGCTAGTTACCAACTGCAGCAGTCCAGACCTGCACAAGGCTGAGGGCAGTGGAGGAGGCAAGGGAACAGATGACTCATACTCAGCAGTTGACAGCTGGGACCTGAAGAGTAAGAGGGACGAAGCGTCAGTCTGCATGCCTGTGTCAGTTATCTATTGCTACACACAAATCACCAAGTATTCCAAAAGGTAGTGACTTAAAACCATTATTTCATAGCATCTTCAAAGGTCAAGAATCTGGGGGCAGCTTACCTAGTTATGGTGCTGTGTCTTATGAGACCATAGTCAAGCTGTTGGTGGGTGTTGTGTCATCAAAGTCTGATCCGGGGCTGGAGGATCTGCTTCCAATCTCACTTGCATGGTTGTTTTCAGGCCTCAGTTCCTTACAGTGTGGGTCTCTCCATGGGGCCAGCTGGGCATGGAATTTGGCTTCCCCCATGTGAGAATCCAGGAGAGATTTAGAGAGAGGAGAAAGGAGGAGGAGGAAGAAAATAAAGAAACTTTAGAATTTATCTCAGAAGTGACATACTATCTCCTCTACCATATTCTACAGGTCATGCTGACTAAATCTAATACACTTAGGAAGGAACTGCTCAAGGATGTGAATACCAGGAAGGAGGAGGGCATCACTAGGGGCTACCTCCGAGGCTAGTGACCACCACCATGTAGTGATGCTTTCAAGTGAGGATAATTTGTGAAATTGTGTGTGTGTGCGCATGTGTGCGAACAGTTTTGCTTATTTTCTTACAAAGTGGCAGTTTACAAAGATGTATACAGGAGTTAGGGAGACCACAGAGATAATGCAAGTTATTGGAACACTGAAGAAAAGAGACTCATGAAGAGGGGCAGACATAGCGAGTGATGTACTCAAGCCAGGTCATAGGACACATGGGAGGGAGCTGAATGTTAGCATCTTTTACAAACTGTATTCAATGATGTCACATTGGTACCCTAAAGTCAGTTACGGCGTATCAGGAATAGTATCTCATGGAAATAAGCAAATACTACAAATCGGAACTTTTTTTTTTTTTTTTCTGCAGACCCAATTCTTAAACATTGACCAGCATACCACTGAACACAACCAGGCTGAGGCAACTCCTAAGGGAGGTTAGCAGAGAGAAATCACACCCAGATCTCACTCTTAAGATTGAGGGAGGACCAGACTCATCCTGGAAGCCAGAGAACGCAGGAGCCCTTATACACTCTATACAAACCAACCCCTGAAGCAGACAGCAAGCTGGAAGAGGATTCTGCTAGAGTAGATCAAAGTAAAGCAAGGCTCCCTATCAAGATGACTCTCCAGCATCTCTAGCAAGCAACTGTAGACAGTGACTCAGTTAACTGAAAGAGAAACAAAGTATCATTTGCCACAATATCTCTTAATTATACTTTTTCTATTAAATGCATTTCTGAGGATTGAACTCATGCCTGCTATATTAGTATTCAACCACTAAGCCACATCTCAGTCACCTAATTTTTAAATTATTGTGGTACTGGGAATGGAAGCCAGGAGTGTTCTAATTCTGAGCTACATTCCTAGCCCCTCTTATTTTATTTTTGAGACAGGGTCTCACTAAAGTGCTGGATCTGGCCTCAAACTTGCAAACCTTGTGTCTCAGCCTCCCAAGTATCTGGGAGCCTAGTTATATACTTTCTTACCCACCCTACTCACTCTTGATTTCCCACATCAATGGTAATAAATTTGGCAGACAGTGGAAAACACTGGATTTTCTAGTTTGGTCAGTGAATGAGGTTTTTGTTGTTGTTTTTTGGTAAACAATAGAAACTAACTCTGGCTAAGTTCAGAGAGAATTTATTGGAAAGATATGTGACAGCTCTCTCTCTCTCTCTCTCTCTCTCTCTCTCTCTCTCTCTCACACACACACACACACACAAAAAAAAAAAAAAAAAAAAAAAAAAGATCCAAAGAATGATGTTTGGAAAGGACAGCCCTGCATTATTTAAGTAGTAATTGATGATCTCAGGATCATTGTTGAAATAAATCCTGTTCCATTTTTTTAACCAGTTCTTGAGTTACCTTGTTCAATGTACTATCCTAGAATAAAATGTGATTGGCCAACTTCAGCGTCAGAGACCACTTGGCAAGATGGCAGCAGGGTTCCTTAACAATGGTCCCACTGAACTGCCACAAGGAGGAACCAATAATTCCCTAGCAAGGAATCCAGAGCCCTCTTAGGAGCAGGAGGCGGAATGCATGCTGGGAAGCCAAGGAGCAGCAAATGTCCACTGCAATCTAGGATTCCCATCACTCTGGGGTCCCTCCTGAGTTAGGGGTGCGGGGTAACTTTCAGACATTAATATGGAATTAATTCTTCTTTTAAAAACTCTAGGCATAACATTACTAGTTCAGAATGCCAACCGACTTGACTTTAAGAGGGTAACATTTAAAAATTAAAATCAATGATAATTTAATGAATGTGGGAACTAAAATAAATAGGAAACTGAAAGAAAAGCTGAAATGCACTGATGTTTAAGATGAAAATAAAACACCATTGTTTTGTCAAATCTGGTGATCACACACAAGTGTATTCAGTAACATTAGGAATGATTGGAAAACTTAGGAGTTAAAATGGAGACAGGTTATCAAGTGTTATGAGTTTGGAAGAGACTTTCTGGTGTACCTTGGTAGTAAATATGGGTTAAAAGAAAATATTTGGCCTTTAAGGACATGGCTCCCCTGACCTGCAGTGTTCTCTTCACTCCTCCAGAATCTGCTGACACCTTCAAGATTGGGCTCACCTGTCTTCTTCTCTCTGAGCCTTCCTGGACCAAATCCAGCCCAAACCATGATTAAATAATGCTTCTTGTCTATGTCAAGCATTTCATATTTCCCCAATGTCCCCTCAGCTTGTTATTTATCTTTTATGTATATATCCTGACCCTCAACCAGGGCCAAGAACATTGGAGGCAGTGTCTCTATCTCATGATGATAAGCTGGCTCTTGGAAGTTTGATGTAACCTTTTCAAAACTTGGTCTTCCTTCCCTTCTGGTTGCTCTTCTATTTAAACCTTGAAAATACTGACTTCAACAAAGGTTTGTCCCTCTTTCCCCTTTTTCTGTCTCATAATGTTATCTGTGCTATCATAAGGTTAGTGACAAAATACATGTCAAAGCCCAGGCAGGACTTAACACTCAGATGTTTGAGGGTTTTTTTGAGGCCCTTCTCACTACAATCATATGCACACCCCTATAATGGTTACTACTCTTAACAGTGCTTGCCTTGTGCTACTGTTCTTCCTCAATGATCTCATCAACTTGGGCAGTTTCAACCGTGATCTTTTAGGGAAGGATTCTCCATCCGCCTCCAGCTGACTCATTTCCCAACCCCAGTCCCATATTTCGAACTGGATGTTCTGTAAACATCTCAAACTCAGCACATCCTAAATCGAACCCATTCCTCTGTGTAAACCTACTTCCTTTTATTGAAACACTTGATCTCCAGTCAGAACTGTGCTAGATGTGGCTTATGCTTGAAGTCTCAGCAACATTTCCAGAATGCCCCTTCTCACTCTTCCTCAGCCATGACTGGTTGCCAAGTCCTGGTTGGATCTGCCATTGTGCTGCAGATGTTCCATTTCCTTTGCAGCCCCATGTTCAGCCTTCATTAAATTTCAATTCAAAACCTGATAGAACATCCTGACTTGTCCCTCTGTCTCTGTCCCCACCTCAACTCATGTTCTACAAGGTTACCAAAATCCTTTTCCTGAAACCCTGATAAGATCTTGTCAAACCTCAGTACCCCTTCTCCCTTGACATACATAAAGTTTTGAATTCCCTCTGCTGTGCCATGTAAACAATCCAACTATCTACAGTTTGTAGCCCAACCAAAGTTTCTCACCTTTTCTGTAGTCCCCAAACCCAAAACCACCTTCCTTATTTCACATTCCAGAATAATCTCTTTATCATTACACAATTAACTTTGCTAAGTCATTCCTTTGTTTTGAGCAGTCTTACCATTCAGGATCTTCCTAAGACATCTTATGAATTTTAACAGTTAAAATTAATTATTCCTGTGGGCTGGGGTTGTGGCTCAGTGGTAGAGCACTTGTCTAGCATGTGTGGGGCATTGGGTTCGATTCTCAGCACTGTGTATAAATAAATGAACAAAATAAAGGTCCATCAGCAACTAAAAAAATAAAATAAAAGTTAATTATTCCTTTTATTAGTAATAACTATGAATTATAAATAATTTAATATGTGCCAGGGATAACATTTTCCCCAGGTTTCTTATTGGTGCATTATAATTGTACATATGATGGGATTTGTTACGTATTCATATATGCACACAATACAAATATAACAATATAATTTGGCCAATCTCACTCCCCAGCACTTCCATCCTCTCTTCCCCCCTCCCTCCCCTGTCCCTTTCCTCTACTGATCTCCATTTTATTTTCATGAGACTTCCCCACACACCACTACCACCACCACCTTTCTTTTACTTGTTCTGCTCTAGCTTCCACAAAGGAGATAAAACATATGGCCCTTGACCTTCCGAGTTTGGCTTATTTTGCTTAACAAAATGATCTCCAGTTCCATCCATTTTCCTGCAGATAACATAATTTCATTCTTCTTTATGGCTGAATAAAATCCTATTGTGTATATATATATATATGACACATTTTCTTTATCCATTCATCCATTGAAGGATACCTAGGCTGATTCCATAGTTTGGCTATTGCGAATTGTGCTGCTATAAACATGACTTTGCATGTATCACTGTAGTATGATGACTTCAATTCTTCAGGATAAATACTGAGGAGTGGTATAGCTGAGCCAAATGGTGGTTCTGTGCCTAGTTTTTTAAGGAACCTCCATACTAATTTCCAAGTAGTTGTACTAATTTATAATCCCACCAATAGGGTAAGTGTTCTTTTTTCTCCACATCCTCTCCAGCATTTATTATTATTTGTATTCTTTTTTTTTTTTTGTACCAGGAATTGAACTCTGGGGAGCTTAACCACTGAGCCACATCTCCAACCCTTTTTGTGTTTTTATTTTGAGACAGGGTCTCACTAAATTGCTTCGGACCTTGCTAAATTGCTGAGCCTGGCTTTGAACTTCTGATTTTCCTCCCTCAGCCTCTGGAGCCGCTGGGATTATAGGCATGTGCCACAACGCCTGACTTAATTTCTAGGTCTATATCCAGTTGATCTTTGTGCAGGGTGAGAGATAAGGATCTAGTTTCATTCTTCTACATATGGATAGATAACCAGTTTTCCCAGCACCATTTGTTAAAAAGGCTGTCTTTTCTCCATTGTATATTTTCGTGTGCCAGAGACTTTACATATGTTATCACATTTAATCGGGATCATAAACCAGCAAGTAGGTATCACAGGCCATGGTCCTTTATCCAATGCCATGAGGCCAGCTATGCTTATGAATTCAGAATGTCTAATTTTAGAATTATAATAGAGTAGTAGTTGTCTTGGTTTCCCTATCTGTAAAATATGAGCTCAATGTTTCCCTCATGGGACTTTTGTGAAATAAACAATGTATTCCTTCACAGAAAAGTCTAACCAAATGCCCTTTTAAATGCATTTTTGGGGTTTCCTTGACTGTTAAAATAATACTGGCTTGTGAATAATACCTTATCAGGAAAATAAATGGATCTAACTTTTGCAGTTACTGAATATGTAACAGGAAAGCAATTTAAATGGTGGTAAGCACCTTCATTTTGTTGGTGGTGTCTCCTTGTCTTTCTTCATTTTTACTACCTTCTGCTAATTGCTCATCAACCCTTTACTCAGCATTTCCTATCAAAAGCACAGAATTCTACTGGAAGAAGAATGCTTTCTTCAGTTTTTTGGCCTATCTTACTATTAATTCATAATTTTCTCTGGAAAAATTGTTAGACAATCATTCCTTTCTAATCTGGCAAAAACACTTCATGAAAATTATGCTAATTTTCAGGAATTCAATACAAAAACCATGAACAAATCCTTTCCCTTTATTCTTCCATGGGTCTAGATGCAGAAAAAATCAATGATTTTAATGCTGAATGCATCACAGTAGCCAAGACATGAAATCAACTGAAGTGTCCATTGACAGATGAACAGATAAAGAAATACGGTATATACACACAATGGAATATTATTCAGCCATATAAAGAATGAAATCCTGTTATTTGCTAGAACATGGATGTCAATGGAGAATATCGTGTTAAGTGAAATAAGCCAAACACAGAAAGACAAATAACACATGTTCTCATTCATAAAATGTTGATCTCATAAAAGTAGAGAGTAGAATAGTGGTTGGTGGATGATAGGAAGGGTAGGAGAGACGGAAGATAGAAGAAGATCAAATAACAGTTACTAAAACACAGTTAGATAGGAGGAACAGGTTCCAGTGTCCCACAGCACAGTAGGGTGACTGGTTTACAACAATTTATAATGCATTTTATAAAGAACTAGAAGACAATATTTGAAGTTTCCTTCCACACACACACAAAAAAAGATAATTATTTCAGGAGATAGAAATGTCAATTGCCCTGATTTGATTATTTATTATATTGGATTATCCCACTACCCCACAAATATGTATGGTTATTGTGTGTCGATAAAAAATTTTAGAAGATAAATAAGGAAAAAAAAGAAGTTAGTGCTGAAAGGGACCTTGAAGTTCTATTGGTACCTATGACCTGAGTTTACTTATCTGTTCTATTTGGAACAGGGAACTGATGTGACCTTCTCAAGCCCACACAGTTAGTTGGTGAAACAACACAGGCCAGATATCAGCTTCTTCTACCTACCCAAGCAACCACTGATCTGCTTTCTGTCATTACAGATTCATTTGTTTTTTTCCAGAATTTCAGACAAATGAAATCATATGGTATGTGTTCTTTGTATCTGGCTTCTTTCATCCAGCATAACATTTGGGTTTTTTTGGTTGTTGTTGTTATTTTCTTTCTTTCTTGTTTTTTTTTTTTTCCAACCAGGAATTGAACCCAGGGGTACTTAACCACTGAGCCATATCCCCAGCCCTTTCTATATTTTATTTAGAGACATGATAATTTGCTAAGTTGCTTAGGGCCTTGTTAAGTTGCTGAGGCTGACTTTGAACTTGGGATCCTCCTGCCTCAACTTCCCAAGCAGCTGGGATTACAGGCATGTGCCATGGTACCCAGCTTTTAATTGGTTTTTGAGATAGAGTCTCATTATGTTGACTAGTATGGCCTCAAACCCTTGGACTAAGGCAGTCCTCCTACCTCAGCCACCTGAGTAGCTGGGACTACCGGTGCATGCTACTGCACCTGGCTTCACCCTAATTATTTTAAGATTCACCCACATTTTTGCACATATTGGAAGAGTATGCATTTTTGTCCTTAGGTAGTATTTCATTTTAAAAACACACCACAACTTATTTAGCCATTCTTCTCATTTTATAGCTTTTTTATAATAATTTTAAAAATTAGAATAATTTCTCCAACTTTTTCTTTGTCAAAATTATTTCAGTTATTCTTGGTCCTTTTAGAAACTATTTTTGTCGATTTTTATTTAAAAAAAAATCTTGTTCAATTCCTAGTAACCACCAAGAAAAGGAAAAGAAAAAATTAACCATCACATTTCTGAAAAGAAGTATTTGGAAACTTTTGATTTCAAAACTAAAAGAGAATTAAAGCCCTTCATTTGCATTCAATGAAGCAATGATATCCAGAGATGTAATGGTTTGATCTAAAATCACATACATTTGTCCATTTATTCATTCACTTAAAAATTCAACATTGAGAATTGAGGATGTATGTAATTCAGGGGAAGAGTGCTTATTCAACATGGGAAAAGCCCAGGGTTTCCTCACTAGCATCACACATTCTCAAAAAAATTCAACATTCATTCTAAAAACATTTACTAAGTGCTTGCTTATCAAATACCTGTCATACAAACTAAATAAAAACTTAAAAACCCTACTGAATTCTACATTTAAACATGTCAGTGTTATGTTACATAAATGATACTTGAAATAAAGCTGTTTTTAAAATAATAAGATCTGCTGGGCACAGTGGTGCGTGTACACCTGTAATCCCAGTGGCTCTGGAGCCTGTGTCAGGAGGATCAGAAGTTCAAAGCCAGCTTCGACAACTTAGAAGACCCTGTCTCAAAATTCAAAATAAAAAAGAAATGGTCATGTTGCTCAGTGGTTAAGCACTCCTGGGTTCAATACTTGGTACCTAAATAAACAGCAAGATCCATTTCTTCCCATGAAGTTTAGTGGACACATGAGATAAGCAAAAACAATTACAATAAAAAGTGAACATGCTGTCACAGACCTGTGTGCTTATCCACTTAACACTGAAGCATCCTGGGACTCAGGCCTTGGACCTCTTCAACTTGTTTTACTATGGCCACTCTCTTCATGAGGTCACTTAGTGTCATTGCTTTAAAACTCAATTGAATTTTATTAACTCCAAATTATTTTTTTATCTCAGTAGATCTCTCACACAAACTTGCAGCTCAAACAGCCAAGTGACAATATGACTTCTCTGCTTTAAAGGATAAAAAGCATCTCAAAATCATCATACCCAAAACCAAATTCCTGATCTTCCCCTCCAAATCTGCTCCTTCTATAAATTTCACCATCTCAGTTGCATCTTTTCTAGTTGCTCAAGCCAAAAACCTTGGCATCATCTTTGATTTGTTTCTTTCTCTCATTGTCTACATTTAATCCTTCATGAAATTTTATTAGTCTACCCTTAACATACATCTAGAACCTCACCACTTCTCACTACCTCCTCTTCTGCAATTCTGGCCCAAGCCTTTATCTTGTTGGATTATTGCTCCCCCCACACCACCACCCAATAATTCATATTCTCTAACAACCAAAAGGAAACTTTAAAAACATAGCTCAAATCAAGTCAGTTCTCTGATCAAACCCTTCAGTGACTTCCCATTTCACTCCTAGTGAAAATCAAGGTCCTCTCAGTGGTCTCCAAGACCTATAAAATCTGGTCCACTATCTCTATCCTTGAACCTCTCTCTGATCTGCTCCATTGTTCATATTTCTGCTTATTCTCTTCCATCCACCCGAGCTCCCTTGCTATTCTTCAAATATTACTAGTAAGCACCTATTGAAGGGCCTTTGTATTTTATGTCCCCTCTGTCTAGAAAACTTTTCAGCAGATAGCCCCAGTGTTCACTCCCTCACCTTCTTCAAGTCTTTGCTCACACGTTACCTTCTCATTGAAGTCTTCTCTGACCACCCAATTTCAATTCGTATCTCCCTTACCCCACACATCTTCCCCTGGCACTTCTTCTCACTTCCCTATTCTATTTGTTCCTCAAGCAGTTGTAGTCTCCAAAATACTACATACATAATTTACTTGTATAGTTCACTGTGTTTATCCCTACAGAGGCCCATTACATCTTGCCTATTTTGTTTACCACTGCTTTCCAGAATCTAGAACAGTAGACATAAAATATTTGAGTGGGTGAATAAATGTGTCCAATACTCTCAGAAAAGGAAATGAATGGTTTTCTCTGGAACTACATCAGGGTGTTTTTTTTACCACTTTGGGGAGGGTGGTGGCTAAAAGGAGGGGAAAGGTTGCTAGCTTGTAGGGAAGAGTTAACTGTAGAAGTTGAACTGAGCTATGAAGGATGATGAGCAACTTTCCAAACAATATAGAGAAAGGCATTACAGGTAGGTGGAACAGTGTACACGAGGCTGGGATATTTTTCAAAAGTACAGCGTAGTGAAGAGTTGAGTAACACATTGGGCAAGTACAGAGCAGGAAAGAGAATGGGTGGGACAGACAAGGGTATAACTAGCAGGAACACTACTAGGGAGGAGCACTAGTAGGCAGCCAGCACCACCTCAGAAGGCCTCTGCCTGTACCCAGTCTCCTAACTTCCTCTCCACTGTCTTGTCTATTGCCCCATACAGTCTCCCTTTTCAGTCTAAAACTTACCTTTCTTTTAGGTTTTATGGGTTGATGTCTTTACTATACACATTTTGTGATCCCAGAGAGTGAGATTTAAGGACAATAGTAAAAATAGGCATATTTGAAAAATATGAAAAAGATTTATACTTTGAAATAGATTATAAATTTTTGATTACTCAAATCCAAAAGACTGAAGCAATTGAAACTTAAAAAGAAATGACAGTTGGTGGTGGCCTGAGTCAGTCTATTTTCATCAATTTTAGTCTGTAGTGGGGAAAAAAAAGCCACACAGGATTGTGGAAATAGATGTAAATTTGGGGGGGATTGAAAAATGTCTTTCAAAGTCTTAGGCAATTGATAACTGACAAACTGAAATTTATCTTATATTAATTATTATGTATTTGCACTATTAAGTAATGAGGAGTAGGAAATTATTGCAAACTGATTATGAACTGTAATGTTGTTCTTTTTATTCTTAAAACTACTCTAATTTTCTTTATTTTTAGTGGTAAAGCAGAAGATCTTGTGCCTTTTTATTACATTAAAAGTAGACAAAATGTACAGAAAAATTATACACTCATTGGTTCAACCCACAACCTCAGGGAATGCCCTTTTTGAGGTGGAGAATTCAGTGTGCCTTGGGTTAGGATACAGAGACTCAGAGCTGAGAATGGGAGCACAGAAGGAAGAAAGCAAAATCTCTGATTCAGGCAGGCAGCAATGAATTTGGGGAGAAAGGCACAGTGTGAGGTACCATATTCCAGGGGGTGGACAAAGCCCAGGAACCAATGGAAGTGGAGACAAGCATTAGGGGAAGCAGCCTGCTACAGAGACCTGTGCTCTGGTCTTGTCCAAGGACAACTTGAGAGCTCTAAGATGCCACTGGTGGAATGTTCCAGTCTCCTGCCAGGAAAAAAAAAAAAAAAAGTATGGGAGATTTTCACCACATATTTGAAGTATGGAAAGCAAAGAAGTTTTTCTAAAACTATCCTAGGAGATCGTATTAAGAAGATCTGGAAAATAATATCAGAAGCCTTTGAATTTGAGGGAAAAATAGTATAAAACAAAGTGTACATTTCTGTACACTTCTAATTGAACTAGAATTCTAATTGAAAGAATAATTAAATTGTCAATAAATCCTTTTGTGATCTTAGTTCCAAGTTGATAAGCTCTTCTGGTTTTATTACTCTTATAAACACCTGGTCAAGGTAGGCAATATCTATTTGAGTCAAGATCTATATTTCCAGAGTAGACAAAACCAAGTAAATAGTCCTCTTTTAGGATTCTTTCCTAAAAGAGACTTAAAGGATATTTTGTTTTGTTGGCCTGGATAAGCAACTGTCCATCTATATAATACCACAATAATTTGTAGATAAGATAAATCATTTAGTGTCTCTATAGAATAACAAATCATGATAGTTCCTTTTTCATGTCAACATAGTCTTGATAACAGACGTTGGTGGAGGCAAAGCAATTGATACATTAGTCCCACTTGAAGAACAGGGAAGCCAGGTGCAGTGGAGCATGCCTGTAATCCCCGCAGTTCAGGAGGATGAAGCAGGAGGATCACAAATTCAATGCCAGCCTCAGTAACTTAGCAAGGCCCTAAGCAACTTAGTAAGACCTGTTTCAAAATAAAAAGGGATAGGGATGTAGCTCAGTGGTAAAGCACCCCTAGATTCAATCCTCAGTACCAAAAACAAACAAATACAAAAAACAGGAAAGAAAGCAAGAGAATGGAGTATATGACTTTGTCACATGGGTGAAGTGTGGTGGTTTGGAGGACTGAATGTTTGCCTTATTCCAGCATTTCTACAGCATACGCAGGATTCCAGCAAAGGCCTCTCCAGATCTGACTCACCGCTTGGGAAGGCACTGCCCACCTCTTAGTATCATAAATTGTTTAGTAAACCAACCATTCCTGAAAGCAAAAAGTTATAAAATTCTGTAAAATTTGTCTTGAGCTCTGAATGAATATATCCAAATAAATATCATTTATTAAGGGAATGCAGTAATATATGACAGTCTTCAAAAAGTAAAGCTCAGCTGAAGCTTCAACTTGTTGCTTGTTTGGCATTTGAAGAAGTCAGAGAAGAGACAGCTTTTTGCTTCACACCACTCACCCTGGGACAGGCAGGCTGCCTCCTGGGAGAGGGCTTCTAAGGCCACTCTTTCAAGCCCATAACTGATTCACCACATCCTGCCCCCTGGAAATGGGGCACAGCCATGCTTTGGCACATCTGCCTTTTTTGAATGCTCCTGAAATGTTAACAGCTGCATCTGGGCTTGCCAAGAGGATGCTTTCCTGACACAAAAGGCCTTTCATTACAATTTTCAATGCCATGTGTGATATTTGAGTTCTTCTTTTTTTTTTTTTCTATTACTCTTATTCTTGAGGGTGCTTTTTGTTTAGAGCACTGTTTTTGTTTACAGCACTGGTTAAAACTTGGGGATTGCACTGGAGGTGTAGTAGTGATAGAGCACTTGCCTAGAATACATGAGGCCCTGGATTTGGTCCCCTAGCATCACAAAAACAAAACAAAACAAAAAACTTGGGAATGTCTTTTCCTTAGACCTGAATTATTCTGTACACACAGACAGATGTATAAAAGTACACTAAATATACCTTTGGAATGAATGATCTTCCAGATGGAAGGAGAACACCTGAGCAATTCAATACAAACTGACATTTTTAATAACTGACATATGATATCTTATGTTTTAGTGTTGTGTCCTTCTGATTTCAAATACTGTTTCTTAAAGGAAAAAGGAATTTAGGGAGATGAAAAGTTTATCATCCTTAAGTGTATGCTTTAGGGTTATTGATTTATTCACTTCGTACCCTTGGTGAGAACAAAGGAAAGAGAATATCAAGCTTACTTAGAAGTTGGCAGGGGTTTTCCCTCTTAACATTTCAATACAATTCATTAGGACAATAGGGAAGCTTTTCATGAAAGTTGTATCTTTGGGCTTAATTCAAGTTCTTCTATCTTAACATGCTGATTACTAATTCCCTCCTATCCTGTCATGTAGCTTTTGATTGGTGACTCCCTGTCAAAAAGCAAATAGAAGATCAGGTTGGTGGTGCATTGCTCTGCAGAATCCCAGCAAACTCAGGAGGCTGAGGCAGGAAGATTGCAAATTCAAGCCCAGCCAGCAATTTAGGGAGACCCAGTCTCAAAATAAAAAAAAAAAAAATTGGGCTGGGGTTGTGGCTCAGTAGTAGAGTGCTCGCCTGGCATGTGTGAGACCCTGGATTCGATCCTCAGCACCACATAAAAATAAATAAGTGAAATAAAGGTATTGTGTCCAACTACAACTAAAAAATACATATTTTTTTAAAAATGTAAGGTCAGGCAACGGTGACCAAAAGGAGGCAGATTTTAAAAGTCTGCTGAATGAGGCTTTATTGAGATTTCACTCCTGGCGGAACCCTAGACCAACAGAATGGGTCTAAGGAGAAACACACTGGGGCTTGACTGGACTGGAATTTGTATCGATTTAGGGCAGGAAGGGAGGGCTTGGGCCAGGAAAAGGAGTTTTTAGAGTCCCTTGTTCTACTGGGGTTGGTGGGGGAGGGTAGCTGGCTAAGATCCAGGATTAGCCAGGAGACCCCGCTGATGGACAGGCGGTTCTGTCAGTGCCTGATTGGTGGTTCTTTCCAGCCCTCTGGTTGTTTGGTGCTTTGTTCCTTAGCCACCTCCACCAACCTAACAAAAAAGGCTCAGTGGTAGAGTGCCCCTGGGTCCAATTCCTATTACAGAGAAAGAGAAAAGAAAGAAAAGGAAAAAATAGAGAGCTGGATATAGTGTTGCCTACCTCTAATCCTAGCTACTTAAGAGGCTGAGGCAGGAGGATTTCAAGTTGAGGCCAAAACTGCTTTTAAAAAAGGGCTGGCAATGGAGCTCAGCAGTCAAGTACTTGGCTAGCAAATGAGAGGCCCTAGGTTTAATTCCCAGTACCATTAAAAAATAAAAGAAAGAAATTGGAAACAGATTTCCTAACAGTAAAGTTATGATGTATCTAACACAATAAATCATATTCCTAATTTCAAATTATAGTTTTGATCAAAGGGGAAATATCACTGTATAAATTACTGTTTCCAAAATACAATGTTTTAATTAATTTTTTGATTTTTATTTATCTATAAATATTATTTAGTTTCTGATAATGTCATCTTAACCATATACTCATGTTATGCTTTTTTTTTTAAGTGCTGGGGATCAAACCCAGGGCCTTGCATATGCTAGGCAAGTGCACTACAGGTTTAGACTGTAGTCTAAAACTGAACTACACTCCCAGCCCTTTTTAGCAGATAGAAATTGAGGATCTGTCAACAAG